TCAATGAAAACAGCGTTAAGTTGTGAGTTCGATTGACTGTTCCACTATTATGCACAGTGTCGCGATCTGATCACTGCACGATCTGTTCGGTCAGAAGCTAGCTTGCTTGGTTGTCTCTTAATCTGTATTCTATCGCATTTGCTGTTCGATAGAGGATAAAGAACATGTCGCGGATATTCGGAAGTGAAGCTTGGTCTGAAATGGCGTCGATCGTTCTAAAAAGCGACGACCGTTTTGAAAAAAGGCGACGACCGTTCGGAAATGCGACGACCGTTTACGAGACGGAAATTTGCATCGCCGTCCTTGGCGCTCTTACGGCAACGGTATGAGCTGGTTCAAAACAGTCACTGAGACACCCATTTCACTTAGTGGCGCTTTCACGGCTCTCTCATTGCGACCTGAAATTGGCCAGAACACGGAGAGAGCGCAGAACAACAACAAAAAAAAAAAAACGTGCTAACGTGGAATCTCTACGGCGACCTAACTGCGCTCTATGCACGACCAAAAACGTTTGAGTTTGAGTTACACTGCCCGTATGTATTCCATCACATGCTAGTGCTACCTCCATTGACTAGGTCTGAATTGTTATGATTTTTGGTATTTTGGTAGTTTTGTCGATGACAAATGTAGGCATACTGGTGGCTTTTAGCAGGACTTCGTGTCTGTCCATGGCACTTTATTTTGCGAACTAGCGGTATACACCGAAAAAAAACTTTGTAATTACAGTAGTCATCAATACTGCAGCAGAACTTGAATTGACACCTTATGGTTTTGGTTCTTTGATTGATAACTATAGTTTTTCGTGCTGTGAGAAGAAATGATTTAGATTTTGTACCCCTAGCGCATGTTTTGGAACGTTTGGAGTTTTGGGAGCGAATAATTTGGTATTTAGGTAGCAAATTATGCAAATGACTTTATTTTTATGATTAATTAGAAAATTCTATACTTTCAGCACCCATGCAGCTGCCTCAGTCTGACTTGAAAGCACATGCTGACGCTGCTGCAAAAATAGCCAACCCTATGTACGCATCTAATGCAGGTAAAACAGTTATAGTTGGTTTTATTACCTTTTCTACACCTTTTCTTCAAACCTAGACGCCCTAGCTTTTCTAGATAACTGTATTACAACTTTAAATTTTCCTACAGAAATCCCACCAATGGGCGAATCACAGACTGATTACCAGTCACATGCTGACGAAGATTCCATCAAAACCGACGCCACGTACCCGTCCAAAACAGGTAAACCTCTCTCTTCTCTAACATTTTATTTATTTTATTTATTTATTAATCTTGAGGGTCGCCCCTTCAGTTGATAAACAACTGATTTCCAAGGGGGCCCTGGCTCCACATCAACAGATGAATCAACAAAACGTTACAATTGTACAACATAAAACACAAAATCGAACATAGGAGTAATTCAAAATACGTTGAACAATATCAACTCAAAATCAGAATTACAGAGCCTGTCACATACGTAAATCAAATAAATAGAACAAAACAAACAACAAAATCAAACCGTTTGCAAAATAAAATACTAGCTATACATGTAGGTCATTGCTTGTTATAATCAGAGGGGTCAGAGGTCAGATTTTAAGGCTTGTTTGAATGAATTCAGAGTGGTTTCTAACATTATACTTTTGCATTGCTTTACATTTGTTATAATCATGAGGCGGAAATCTAGATCAAATGTATTGGCAAAATATAACACTTCACGGAGGATTGTCGCCTATGGACACTTTGATTTTTCTTGTAGGGAAAGCACCCATTGAGGAGCCTCGGTCTCATTGGCGAAAACTTGCGAACGCCGCTGCGACTATACACAACCTTATGTACGGCACAAAAGCAGGTAAAGCATTATATTCGACATATCTTTGGCATCTTATTTCTTATCTTAAATACACCCGTTTTTTTACTGATATCTTTTTTTCTTTCATATCTTCTCATTTCCTCAATAGACACAGCACCTATGCAGCAGACTCATTTCGATTTAGAGGCACGTGCTGACACTGCTGCAAATACATACAACCCAATGTACGGCTCCAAAGCAGGTAAATTCATATTTAAAAATTTATGATAGGGAATGAATGAATGGATGAATGAATGAATGGATGAATGAATGAATGAATGAATGAATGACGACCTTTATTGCCCTCTGTTACCTAACTTGGATAATTACAGGTCACAGCAAAACACCATGAACAAAAACAGTTAAAATATACAAAAAAGAAACTTACTAGTAATATAATTTTTTTTCACAACTTTTTTTTTGTTTTAACCAACGCAGGTCTTTCTTTCCCTACAGGTGCCACACCAAAGGACCAACCCCAGACTGATTACCAGGAAGCTGAGAGCGACGATGCAAAGACAGACGATGCCACCTACAAAGCAGGTAAAAGGTTTTGAGCACCTCTCTTTTCTAGCATCCTGTTTTTCCATGGCTGCTTTGCAATTGTTTTGATCAAGGGGTGGCGTTTTTTGTAAGCGCCGCACTTTTGATTAGTCCTTAGATACTTGTGTCCAGCATAGCTTAGTCCAGATGGTCTAAATAGACCGATATTATTTTTGGAATTTGGGAAGGTTGTTGGATGCATGACAAAGGGCAAGAGTAAATGACTAACTGATTATCAGACAAGTTCAGATGACAGTGGAACCACACCTGACGCCATATACAGTTGGAAAACAGATAAAACAATTTAAGCTCTTTCCCTTTAGCATCCTGTTTGTCCATTGCATTGTAGTAATCAAAATCATGTCGCGAAAATGTTTAAATAATTGTATACTGGGCCCTATTGGAGAACAAATTCATAGCAAAATTGGACTACCCAGCTGTTCTAAAATTATATAAAGAAATAAGCGCCGCGAATGCGGGATTAGTTCTCCGACCTGCTTTGGTTTTGATTCATTGACAGCAGTGTGCTACCCAAATTTAATGATGATTAATGATTTAGTAATTATTTATGATGCAAAAATGTTGATATAGTATTTAAAATCGCTGTGTAACCAGCAAAAGGTCTGTGCTTTCTTAAAGGCTAATTTGGAACTTAAATTTGGTGACATTCCTGGTCCTCAGTTACTATTTATCTTACATTCTAGCCGGTGCCACGGGGATGTGGAAGAAGATGAACCTTGGAAAAGTCCATTTCCTTGCACTGGGCTTCGGACTGTTAGGAGTATTCGCAGTGGTCGCGATTGGGATGCTTCTACCTAGTATGTTTCCTGGAACGAACTTCAAGGTAAAACAACAAATCTTCTTTCATTTGGCATGTAGACCTCTTTAAATTGCTAGAAGCCAACACTTCACTTAATTGTCCATATTGCAACCTTTGATTTAATGAAGAGGATCTCACATTTTGTTTTTCTGTAGAACCTTGAACCTGCATAAGTTTAAGATCAGCGCATTTTCATCCTTAGGTTTCAAAATGCTTTTAATGTGCGTGTGGGTAAAGGGGCTGGGCATTGATTTCTATATTTTTCCCAAATACCAAACATGGCAATGAAACATATTAAACTAGAGTTCCCCGATCTCATACCTTCGCCAAATGATGTTGATCTTTATGACTGACAAATTATACATTAGATTATTCCCCCCTGATTTAACAAATAGGAACCTAATTTTCATGAATTATATCATTTTATCATAATCTAAACCAAAAGACAGTCTTATATTAACAAGCAATGTATTCTAGTTTTCCTAATAAATTATGCAAATGAGGTCCTGATTTGAATAAATTATGTTTAATGATGTTCACCTCATCTTAACTTTCAAATACCACAAGTATGAAATTCCAGGCAGTTATCATTACATAATTATAAAATTTTCTCACTAATTATGCAAATTAAGTCATTATTAACATAATCAATATCTGCCTTTGTTTCTCTCGTTGTCAGTTACCAATGTCACAAGCTTCAATTGTCCTATCATGGAATGCAGCTGATTTATAGAATTTCCCCATAAATTATGCAAATTACATCCATATTTGCATAATTGTCACATCATTATATTAAGCATCACGTAAGCTACCTACATACCAAAAATCATGACGATCCGTCCACCGGTTCTTGAGTTATTCCCTTTTGAATATTTTCAAGAATATATCCCTGCAGTTCCAGAGCAAGCCGCTAGGGCGCCCAAACTCAGGTCACTTCTTCCCCAGCACAAGAGCTACCTACCATCCAAATTTCATCACCATAGCATGTCTAGATCATGAGATATCAAAACCGGAAGTTCAGCTGCAGTACTATAACAAGCCGCTAGGGGGTCCAAAATCTAATCATTTTGAGGTCTCATCAAGACCTACCCACCTACCAAGTATCAAGACAATCCATCAAGGCCTTCTCAAGTTATCGTGTTTACAGACACACACACACACACACATACACGAACGCCTCTGAAAACATAACCTTCTTGGCGAAGGTAAAAAACGTGCATCATCACGGACATGATGGCACACCACATACCCAATTACAGAAAAATACAACTGACACAA